CCCCCCCCCCCAAACTGAACTTGCGCTTTGATTCCTTGTCTCTATTCAGATGAGCCTTATTGAATGTCCTCTAGACTTGTATTTGATGACATCCTTTCTTCCAAATGCTTTAAGTACCCCTGCACCTACCTGAAATTTCACAACAACCTAGTAAAGCACTGATTAGAGAATGACACACCCCCAATGATTTCATCTTTAAATGATCCTTTTTTCAAAATGCTCTTAGGTAAGTGTTTCCTGCTATGACTTTCAATAAAAATAGTGAAGGAGATACAGGACAGACTGAGAGCCAATTTTTAATTGCAGTTTGTCCCTAACTTAAAGTTCAAAGAGCTAGGAAGTAGCATGTCAGCTTTTATTAACACAGCCATCAGAGTATGCTCAATTTGCTCAGCTAATAGTGAAAAGTTGTAATTAATCTCCAATATGTAAAAACTGATTAATATTAAGCTTGAGACACCTGGTATGATTTCTGATTTCATTAAGGAGATAATTAAAGAGCAGATACTGCATAACTGATATCCAAAAGCTATGTTTCTTTTCTTGTTTTTTTGGGGATGGGTTTTCGCATTTTCCTATGCCTCTGGTTGTCTTGGGATGATGTGCTTGCTGAGTGTCCTAATGCAAATGACCAGTTAATCATTCACTAAAACAAAGCTTCACTAATACAACTCATCGTGTTTGACTTCCCTGCAAAGTTTCAACAGACTGAGACAACAAATATTTTGTCATGGTAGTCCTTCAGGAAGTTGATATTTTGAAACCTACTTTCCTGCATGGATTGGGAAGGGGGATAATAAGTTTATTTACTTGATTGTTTCTGTTCAGAAATGAATTTAACACTTAAAGATGAAAATCAATGCCCATTAAAGAAAAACAAAGCTACATTTTACTTAGCTTTCATAGATAGGATGAGAAAGTGAAAAATTTCTTTTTAAAGGAAAAAAAATATTCTTACATGAGATTTAGATTCATTTCTCATTGGATTTTAAAGAATAACCACTTCATGCATAAGTGGAATAATTTCTTTTCATGGTTTTCCTTGCCTTGAGAACATTACAATCTTTTGACCAACTGAAAATACAGCTATTTACTGGATGGATGGGAGAAACTGTTATTCTCATGAGACCTTTAGAACCAGCCCTATCTACTAAAGGAGCACCAGCACACAGAAACCAAATGCAAACCCTCTTTTCTTCCCAAATTTAATTAAAATAGTTCATTTTCACAACAAAGATGAAAGCAAGCCATGATTGCACAGCTTAAGCATGTATAGAACTGTCATCTACTACCCTGTCTCATAGTGGCTAAATCACATGTTTAGATAGGCATGAAAATAAGACCTCATTAACATCAGTTGCTGTAATTCAGACAGAGCCTAAGCAGGACATTTTACTGATAATACGTGTGCACTAGAATCCTTAAAAATAATATATCTTGTAATAAATGCAACTTCAGCTTTCAACAGGAATATACAACCAAAGTCAGTCCTGAATAAAACCAAGTATTTCAACATAGGAACACAGACATTAAAGGCTTTAATTACCCATAACTTCTGGGAACAACTCAGGAGTTTTGTGTGTGCATGCATAAGATGTTCATTTGCTGTATCTTTAGAAAGGAACAATTGATAAGAGAGAGGACACATCCCACTATGAAAACACAGATACTTTATAAATGTACTTCTAAAGTAAATGAAACAGCTCCTTAGAAGACAGGGCAATTGTAATGGAATTATATACACACACACATTTAATGCAGTTCTTGAAATGTAACAGGTTTAACTTCTACCAGGGTGTTTAACTACAACTTACACAAAATTTTAGTATTTACACTGTGTCACATAAGGCAATCCTTGGTGAAGTTGTTACTTAAGAAGGCCATATAAATATTCATAGTTATCTGCATGACCTGATTTACGATTATCCCCTTTACGATTATTCTACTCAGAAGAGAGGATATTCAGCCAGAACAGTCAACAAGTTGTAATACATACAAATAGCTGTTATCACATTTTATTTCTAAAAAAAAGCCATAGGCTGATGCCTCTCTTGTGAGCTACTTTCTCATTCGTGTATATATCCTTTAAAAAATTATTTCCTTTTCATTTTCCATCCGTTCATAAACAATTTCTTGTTTTCCCAGCAACTTTTGTTAACCTTGGCTTTTGTAACAAAACACTTTTCTCTTATGCCCATTTTTTGCACCAGTTCAAGTCCTAGCAGGCTTTGTACCAGGCTAACACTGCACTGGATAACCTGTCTTACTGTTTGAATCAATATCTAAAACCTGTGCCACTAAACTTACAGTAATCTTCCTGGAAAAAAAAAAAAAAAAAGGTCTGTCAACTCCCAGTTCTGGGAAAACCAGAATGAAAAGCAGTTACTGCAGAAGGAGCTTACACGTTCACTTACCTAGCAGCATTTTGATTTTGCTTCCCATTTTGAAAACACAGACCACTGCCATTTTCTTCTGGAATTAATCTTTTATAGGACCACCAGCTGAGTGCTAAATTAGAATTTAGCACTCAACTGGTGGTCCTATAAAGGATTAATTCCAGAAGTATTTCCTCACTAGTATTTCCTCACTGTAGCTTGTTAAATAGCCTCTGGCCTGAGGCTCTTCAACAAAGGACAAAAAAAATTTTTTTAAGGGAGAAAAGGGAGATTCAGATTGGAAAATTTCATCTATAATTCGCCATGGACAGCCTCCTAGCTGAACAATAGTTAAGGTTCGATTACACTAGATAACGCAAAGTTCTGTTTTTTTTTCCTTTCAAGAAAGGTTTAGGAAATGCAAGTTTAAAACTTCTTTCCCTCACACTAAGGAAATTCAGCTTCCTTAACTTGTAGTCCAAGTGTTTCCTTGTGTGTAGGCCTATCATAGACTTCAGAGAGATACTGTACATAAAAACCTATGGCTTCATAAGCGCAGGACCTGCACTGGCTGAGCTGTGGAACTAGCCTCCTGCCCCTACATGCTCAAAAGGAGACGGCTACCCTAATTAAAGCAGCTTGCTACTTCAAGGGGTGGGGGTGAGAAGAAAGGGAGAAGAAATGTTAGGCCAGGAGTCACAGCACTAGAGCTAAGTTAAGATCAGGTAGTTAAACCCTATAGTGCAGGACATGAAAATATTAAAATCTTTGTTGTGAAGTACAAAGAATCAGAGATACCAGCATCTCCTCTGGATCACAGGACTAAGCCAATATATTCACTTACAGACACATTCAAGAGTAGTAAGTAGTTGCAAAAAAATGAGGGTCACATTTTTCAGTCACTTTGACTATAATATTTTAGTGGATAAAGGTATTTTTCTACTTCCCCTTTCAAATAATTTGTTGCATCACAGGCATACTACACCATGTTCTAACAGCTGTTAGCCCTTCCCAGATGCAGTTGCGTTTTTATAACTCATGGAAGAGTTATCTTTACAAGATTCAGTTAATAGTATCATTTAGGATGACTATTTGATAAAGTCTCAAGTTAAAAAAAACAAAACAGAACAAAAAGCCATGTCATCTGTGCACACTGGAATTCAAGTGTTTATTTAAAAAGTAAACCTTTGGCCACATTGCAACTTAAAAGAGAAAAAAAATACAAAGAAGAATCTATTAGATTAAGCAGTCAAAAGCCAGCAATATTACAAGCTGTTTACATGCCAACATTTACATTAATTTAAAAAGCAAGTGGCATATCACCAACATGTAAAACTCAAAAATTAAAAAAAAAAATCAAGTTGACTTTTGAAGGATACAAGTCTACCATGTGTGAACATGGATTTGGTCATTCAGTTTAAAACCTCTTGCACTGAAATGTTCAGTCTTCAAATTATACAAGTGGATAGCTAGCAGCTGTTGCTATCCCACAGTGGTTCTTCCTGTCTTTTGCCATGTAGATATATCCTTTGTCACCCCACTTCTCACCCCAGCTGAAAATAGAAGTAAAGAGTTTGTTTTCATTTTCACAGAGAGACTTATATTTACCCCAAAGAAAGTGTTTAAACTGAGAACTGTTGCCTTCACCGCAAAAAAGACAGCTACAAGCTACAGGGGGGCTTTCAAACAAACCAAGGTACATTACAGAAGAGGCACCAAAAGCTCACAGAAATAGAGGGTGCAGCCCTCCAGCTCCTCCTCTTGCTAGGTGGAAGCCTTTATGTTCAATCCTGGATTACAGGGGCCTGAAGCTCAGAGACACTGCTCCCCATCAACTTTTTAGTGAGAACCTTGTCTGCAAGCAGCATTTGAAGGCGGTGCCCCAGTAATGCTGTGAACACAAGACAAGCTCATGTGATGTGCCCTTTGGCAATAATTAACTTCCCTCTGGTTTAGGAGGAGTCTAACTCAATTTTAAAAGTTCAAGTGTTACTCTACTTCACACAAGTGAGCAACCCTTTCCTTTCCAAAATCCATCTCCCGCCACAACGTCATTCCCTCTCTCCCCCACCACTTTAACAGCTTCTTGGACTGTTCCAGTACTAAGCTCCTTGGAATTAACTCAAAATGCAGGAGAATGAGTTTGCTGCTTGGGGCCCACTTATTAAGCAGCCAGGAACATGTGTTGGGCTTAACTTCTGCCATACAATACCCTGAGAACAGTCTCTAGGTTTTCCACATGCATATCAACTACTGTCCTTCCTGTCCCCACAAAACTACAAGAGATGAGCAACTTTCCCTCCTTCCCTCCCTTCAAGGGTACTGGACACAGAGGAAGATCTCACCTGTTCTTAACAATCCAGTATTTCTTGCCATCTACATCTCCCCCCTCAAAGCCATAACCTACAACCAGAACACCATGGTCCAGGTCTTCACTGCTACAGTCTGGTTCATAATAGATACCTGAGGAGGAATAAGTTCATAAAGATAAGAAACAATCCTCACATGTGAGCAAACTTGCTTTTAGGAAACCCTTCTTCCTCATCTGAAGATGTGCATTTCACAAATCAGGCCTTGCACAACTTCTTGAAGTAGTCATAGAGAGGTTCCAAATGAACTGTGTCACAGCAGAAACTGAAGGACAAGGACACAGGTATGTGAGAAGTACAAAGAGTGGAGAATCTAGACCAGAATTAAAAGGAATCGTGATTATGTGCTATGACACAAGGTCATAGCTTCCCTCCCCCAATTAAATTGAAGGGTAATTAATACTAAGTAAGCAAGTAGCAAAGAAGTCTTTGCATGCAAGTTGCTAACAAATCCCCACCTGACTGATAAAACTGGAGTGAAGAATGGCCTGCATCAATAGCAACAGATATTGGACCCACAGCTGCTACTGCCTTCATGAGAGCTCTTTCATGTCCCTGAGGGATGTCAACAAAGCCAGTGTCATTAGCAGCCTTGTACTCTGCCTTCACAGAATCACAGAATGGTTGAGGTTGGAAGGGACCTCTGGAGATCATCTAGTCCAACCTCCCTGCTCAAGCAGGGACCTCTAGAGCACATTGCACAGGATCACATCCAGGCGGGTTTTGAATACCTCCAGGGAAGGAGACTCCACCACCTCTCTGGGCAACCTGTTCCAATGCTCTGTCACCCTCACAGTGAAGAAGTTTTTTCTCAGGTTCAGATGGAACTGCCTGTGGTTCAGTTTCTGCCCATTGCCTCTTGTCCTGTTGCTGGGCACCACGGAGAAGAGTCTGGCCTCATCCTCTTGACACTCCCCCTTTAGATACTTGTACACATTGATGAGATCCCCTCTCAATCTTCTCTTCTCCAGGCTGAACAGGCCCAGCTCTTGCA